TTTTCTTCTACAGTTAAGTATTATAAGACCTTTCTCAAAGTAGTACATGAACGCTATACATCGTGGTCTGAAGCGGCGGACGTGTGTACGGGCATGGGCGGCAAAATGTTGCAGATATGGTTTCAAGAAACTCAGGTCTCCGTCGAAAACATTCTAAAAAGCACCACATCATACGACAAATTTTTTGTCGGAATCACTCGAGATGTCACCGTCAGTGGGCAATGGGTCGAACCTAATGGCTATACCGTAACTAATTTCCATTGGTATCCCGGTGAACCTAATGAAAATGATCTAGGATGTGCTGTCATAAGGTGCGTGGATCTGTAATTCAATTAGACATTTTGATTCTTTTGGAAAGGGGGGATTTTAATAATGCGGTTACTCTATCCACCTGCACAATGTAATTATTTCATTCCCAAAAGTTTCTCTTTTTATTTAAATCCAGCCGACACCATAACTACTTATGGATCGACCATACGTGTGATGGTGGTGCCGGTTATATATGCGAATTTGGTGAGTTTGTATCTTCTTTTTCTAAGTTTACATCACTTATTAGTGTTTACTAATGCAAAAAGTTCAACTGAGCGAAACGAATTATAAAATCCACGGATCTAGTGACACAGTATAGCATACGCTATTCTCCAGGAATAAGTATTAAATATGATATAGAATAATATAGTATTTGGACGTCTAACTCCTTTTCAAAATTCAAATATTTCTCGTTGACCGACAATAAATTTCGACTTTCGAGATGAAGATATTTAAACATTTATACTATATGAATGCATAAATAGCATATATTATCCAAACATTGTCTTCTTGCCATAATAACGAGAGGTATCATCTGCCACGACAGTTTTTTTTTTCTCGGTGTACTTGTTCTCACATTTCTACAATCATGTGTGGAACAGTATGTGGGTTTCACGATTAGTATTACTGCGTGCCTCTACTTTGTTTTGATGATCACCCTGAGATGAGAGATGTCGATATAATATTGACATCTCCCATTTCTCTGTGATATTATTATTATTTTACAGTTGATGTAAATTATACGGTCGATTGTTTTTGTACGAGACTTTCTCAACCTAATGACAAATTCAATTTGTTTTAACACAGCGTGCACCGATCCCGTATGGTGTGTAAAGGGGACTATTGAATATATCGGTGACTCATGTAAATGTGTCTGCAATGAAGGATATAAAGGAGATTTTTGTGACGGTACGATTTCTTTCATTACCTTTATATGCCTTATCAGATTGGAATTAAAATGTCTTTGCTCATAATTACCACTATAGGCATTAATATCGACGCCAACTTACAGTCATCGTTCATCGCGCTTTATCGCTTATATATGACAACTCATATCCCCCTTGTTTACTTTCAGAGTTCGTGACATCTTTATCGCCAATCTATTCAGAGTACGCTGCTCAATCATATGCCGATGCTAAAACGCAATGCCAACAGATTAATGGTAGACTCCCAGGTGCATGTTCGCAGAGTTCGTACGATTTTTTCACATCTTACATTGCCACATTGTCGGCTACTCCAACTGATGAGTTTTATATCGATGTGACAAAGGATGGTGGAATCTGGAGAGGGTGTAATTCGAAGGCTACTCAGTTTGCAAATTGGGATTCGAATGAGCCTTTAGCATCGAACTCGTGTGCGGCTGTAAGGTGAGTCAATATTACCTTGATAATAACAGTAAATGAAAATAATTGCATAAATACAACATAGGACATCATAACTATGCAGTTTGCTCCCAAATTGTTGATTATAATTTGAATATGAATATAAATGTGTTGTTGGACTGATTTGCATTATCAGCAATTTTTTGTCGCTAAATGAGTAACAGTAAATGAAAATAATTGCATAAATACAACATAGGACATCATAACTATGCAGTTTGCTCCCAAATTGTTGATTATAATTTGAATATGAATATAAATGTGTTGTTGGACTGATTTGCATTATCAGCAATTTTTTGTCGCTCATCCATGTTCCCGGATGTAATTGTACTTACTGTAGATCGTTCCTCGGTAGTCTCTTTTAAAAATTCTAATTGCATTATTATATATATGTTTCTCGATATTTTGATATTTTTTGATATTTTTTATTGTGCGAACACTTACGTTTTTATGTTTAAGTTATTGCTAAGTGAGTTATTGAATATTGCTAAGTGAGTATTGTGAAATATTGCCGGACCAACTTTCACGTTATTACATATAATGCTAATGTTGACATTTTCTGTATAGTTTCAAATAACACTTTCTACGCTGTGATCGTTGTTTCAGTCAAATCACGCCGTATGAATGGTATTCTACTAACTGTACCGAATCCCATCGCTTTGTTTGTGAACTTCGTAAGTTATACCTCTACATACAAATTATATTTTGTCGAATATTTCAATATTATATGCCATTAACGTTAGTTATCTTTTTTGACAAAAACATTAGCTTGTGAGAAAACTAGTGAAAAATGGTGCCATCATGGTGAGGTAGTACCCGATGGAAACACGTGTCGCTGTGAATGCTGGGATGGAGTTTTGGGAGCACAGTGTACTGGTATGTACAAGCACAACAACTCATATTGAACTAGTACATTATCATGTTGCAAGTTATAAGAGTTAGTGGGGAGTGTCGGTTATTTTTGTTCAGAAGCAAGTAACGGAAAACTAAGACTATAATGTTTGTTTTCAGAATATGACTACAACGACGCATTATACAAGTTGATCCTCTTTTACGAAGCCCAAGAAAGCGGCGTACGTGCACCGGGAAACAGAATCACGTGGATGAATGACTCGTTTTTGTATGACACAACTATGGATGGTACCGGTGATCTAACAGGGGGCTGGTTTGATGGTAAGCAAGATTGTTTTTGTTAACACAAGTACTTTAGTTATAAACGCTGTACACAACAGCCCTGTGCATTTACAATACAGAGAAGAATTAACATCTGCCATAAATTGACTTCAGCTTTGTTTGTCTCAAAACTCTCAGTTACGTCGAATAACTAACACACGGTTACGTCGAAAAAAATCTCTAACATACAAGCTGTTCTGTAATTGGTCTGACTGTTGAGTGTTACGGTCGGGTAGCCAATCAGGTACACTCTTGTAAAGTGGCTTCTTATTGATTCAAAACCTGCTATTGATTCTGACTAATTTTACATAAATTATTGTGTAGAATTTTTTAATTTACTTTAGATTTTTTGTAGTCAATTTAGATTTTTTTACCTTTACTTTTTGTAATAAATTGAACTTTCCTATTATATTCTTGCCTGGTTCTATCAACTTATTTTTACTATTCATAAATATGAATATTTTTGAACAGAAATAAATGTCACACTTCTATCTCTATATTTCTATCTTCTTCTGATTCTATCTCGTTAACAAATGCAATCTACTGTATTTTGTTGCAGCTGGTGATTACGCTAAATTCTCCTTCTCACTAACCGCTACTCTACCAATGCTTGCATGGGGAGTTCTCGAATTTAAAGATGCGTACAATATCACTGGTGAATTGAATAATATATACCGTACCTTGAAAGTCGCCACCGATTTTATTCTGAAGTTACACACTGATGAATACGAGTTTTATGCATATGTGAGTACTGTATAGAGAGTATCTTGTATGTTAAAGTATGTTATCACATGTGTAACTTGATTATTTTGATATCCTTAGTCGACTCATATTGAAAAAAAATACCTGAAACTTATTTGAACGTTGTGCGTTGAAAAATGTTGCGTCTCGTCCATTGAGGTGTGGGCCGATCTGTGTACTGTACAAATGTCACAATGGACAGTTTCAAAAATATAATAATAGTAACTTTCAACATCTTCGAGCCTTCTTCTGGAAGACTCTGTTTACGTTCTTTGGTAAATACTAGTGGTACAATGGTGTGTCGATTTCTGCGTCCATCATACGACTCCTCTCGATGTGGGGAAGTGCAAAAGAGAACACATTTCTCTGGATTATTCATAGCGTTGTCGTCTCGTATTACAATATGCAAAAATGTAGACACCTGGTTAAATTCCACGATTCAGATTATTCATCTTACTAATTACCTAATCAAACGGGTGTCCATTTCCAGGTTGGCGATATTACCATTGAACATAGAACATGGGGACGACCAGATGACATCATGGCAGCATATGGTAGCCAATTACGTACCGGAGATCCAATTAATGTGACCAATCCAGGAAGCGATTTAGCTGGAAATGTGGCGGCCTCCCTAGCTTCGTGTTATTTAGTATTCAAAGATATAGGTATAAATAAAAAAATATTTTAGTGTGGAGCGAGTTAAGATGAATTGAAGCCAGGTTATAGCCATAATGTCAAATGTAGACAACAGCCAAATATCTGTCTGTGCTCCTGGAAGTAAGTGGGATAAAATTCTGATAACGAATAATGTGGATAAATTACATCTACATGCAAATATACAATACTGTATCTTCTTTTAGACCCTACATACGCTGATACACTCTTGGAACACGCTATAACGATGTTTGAATTTGCAACTAATGAAAGTCATCAAGGGATCTACTCGGAGAACACCAATATTGAAAACTTCCAGTAAGTGTTGCTGTTACGTTACGTATATTTAACATTACTTTGATTTGAAGTCTGTTAGTTGACATAATTGCAATTCATTTTTACTGAAAATAACGTACAATGACATGTATTCAATGCATTCACAGTGCAATTAATTTCATATCTTGTGAACGAAGCAACGGCCACACAAATAAGAACTCAATCGCGTGAAAAATTATCATAATTAGAATCCGGATTCTCTTTCCCGCATCTGCGATTCATTCCACAAATTGAAATTGTTTATGTTCCCAGGAGTAGCTCCTACTATGACGAACTTGTCAGTGGAGCGATATGGATGTACAAGGCAACAAATGACTCTGTGTACCTCGACAAAGCAGAGACGCTCTACACACGGTATGGCTTGGACTACGTTGCAGAATATTGCGGATGGTCGTCGTGTTTGACTGCCACTCAGGTAACTGTCAGAGCATTTTAAGGTCAGAGGTCGTCAAGCATAATTCTTTAAGCTGTTTCACGTTCGTATAATACATATCAGACGCAAATCCTGTTTTAGAATGTCAACTGTGGTGACACTGTCGCGTATTTGTATGCGTATTGCTATGTCAATGACAATTTAAGAGCTACGCGTTTAGTCCATAAAATTCGATTATCAACTTTCGTTTATGTTTATTCTTTCGATTAATATATTCCAACATTTAGAGGTTCGGTACTGTCCACTAACGTCGTGTATACATTTCCAGTTTTTTAAACACAGAGAATATATATTATCCTAGTAAGTGTCAAACAATAAAATACAGCGGTATCAATAATGATATATATATGCTTCCTAATATGGGAATGATTTTCGAACATAGATACGATGATATTCCAAAGAATGTGTTGACCATCCTAGCCGGTTCTAGACTTTGAACAAGAATAGATGTACAGGGAACATATATAATTATTATTAATAATTGGTAGTAGTTAGTAGTAGTTATTACAAGAATATAGTAAAAGTATGACTGTACTCAGACAGAACGCAGTCGTCCTTTTTATTAGCTACGTAATGGTCAATAATTTCGCGGTATTTTCGTAATAACCACGTGCTCATGTGTGCAAATTTATGTTCGTAGCTACTGCTATATCTGGAAACTGGGAACACAACGTACCTGGATAGAGTGGAAAGTTCTTTTACAAACTGGTTACCTAATGGCACCATTAGATATACACCAGGAGGACTTGCCTGGAAATCAAGTAACAATCCTGTGAGAGCTATAGGTGAGCTGAAAACATGTGATGTTTTCATTGTGACTCACACGTATTTTGACAATGTGTGTGTATACAAATAAAAAAAACAGAATGTTCTAAAGTTAAAAAGAGAAAACGCGGACCAACAGCAGAGAAAGAGAAAGTGCCGCACCGGCAATGACTTCCCGGATACCAGATTTTGTCCGAAGTATCAATAGAAGTCGCATTTATTCTATTTATACCAAATTAATTCGTGTTATTCGGTGTGTTGAAAAAATCTTCATCAACTACATTTGTTTATAGGCCGCTGGGCGTTCATGGCATTGGTTGCCGGCAAACATAATATTAACAGAGATGAATTATACTATTGGGCACGCAGTCAGGTAAACTATGTTCTTGGAGATTCTGGAAGAAGTTTCGTGAGTGGATTTGGACCCAATCCGCTCGTCTCAATACACCACCGTGCGGGGTATGTATATCAAGTTGTGTTTAAAGCAGGGGATTCGTCACCTGCGCATGCGTCAGATGGCCATAGCGTGTCATTGCTTACAAACAAGCGTCCACCCATGAACCTTTGCGTTTTTAGCGTTTGTTGGTCTTTACTAGACTCGTCACATCCGACAATGTACAACACACACTTACATAACGTAAGGTTCATGCCAGGTGCGGCCACGTATGTGCAGTCGGTCCGGCGAACCATTTATTTAACAAAACACACTAAAAAAGCCGACTAAAAACATGTAGTGTTCAAATTGAAATAAACTAAATGAGAGAAAAAATAACTTGCATCACGGTTACTAAAAAAGACGGTTAGAAAACGAG